ATCTGAAAAAATTAAAGTCTTCGGTTCATTGCAACCCCTGAATGAAATCTCAACTTCATCGAAAACTATAGGCGTCGTCCTTGACCATAATCGGAAGTTCATGTACAATTTCAAAGCTATCAGCGCCATATAATTGGTATCTATTTGAAGGTCAACAGCTCCTCTTGGATATACTATTAACTTCTCGGGTATATGTCCTTCAGGACTAAATATATACGCCATAGAATGCAAATTTTGTAGTTTTTCACACAAAAGTCAGGGTCCATTTGACCCGCTAACTATTGACTGATCGTTATCAAAAGAGGCCTGCTTATTCTTTGGCCCAATCCCCATCTCCATGTAAAAATTCGCGATAATTGAGGCCTCTGGAGCAACAAAATCGACAAACATTAAGTATTTGGTCCATTTCATCGCCTAAGTATTAACCGATCTTTACCAAAAACAATAGGGGTCTGCAGTGGGCAGAATCCATCCTACGTGCAAAGATTGGTCCATAACTGTGGCCTGTATAGTGTTTACAAATTATAATGGACAGACGAAAGGAAGGACACACATGTCTAGATCGACTCAGCTAGTCGAGATATGACGATCGGTATACTTAAAGGTGGGTCCAGGACCAATATTTCTCGGCGTTACAAACTCTTGGGGCTGCACAAAGCTATAATACCCTGACAACATAGTTGTGTAGGTTATAAAGGTAGGTAGAGTATAAAAATCTGCAGGAAAACTATTTGCTCCTTGAAAAAATATTTTTTAAAAAAATTTACGCCTTGTTTGGGTCCGAGAAAAATATTCCTTCGGTTCATTTAAAAATATTTTTTTTAAATCCACGCCTTATATGGGTCCCTAAAAATATTTTTTTAAAAAATCCACGTCTTGTTTGGGTCCGAGAAAAATATTCCTTTGGGTCATTTAAAAATATATTTTTTTTTTTAAATCCACGCCTTGTTTGGGTCCCTAAAAATATTTTTTTTAAAAATCTACGCCTTGTTTGGGTCGCTAAAAATATTTTTTTTTTAAATCCACGCCTTGTTTGGGTCCCTAAAAATATTTTTTTTTAAATCCACGCCTAGTATTGCTCTGTGCAAAATATTCTTTACAATCCTCGTATTGTTTGAGACCTGGAAAAATATTTTTTTTATTTTTTGTCATTCTCACCACCCTAATGTACACATTAATGTTGTGTGCTGGAAAAGTTTTGTTGCACAAAACTTTGTTAATGAAACTCCTTTTGGCCGAAACCCTTTGCCTTAATTTGCAATATTTCCTTGTAATGTATTTATAACTCCCCCCAAACCAATGGTACCCCTCTCTACTCACCCCCATCCAAAATCCGTTTATACACATATACATATGCACATGCATATACACTTAATGGTAATACACGGCACTTTAATGAGTTTAAGCTACTTTAGAAACAACACACCTCGCCCTCTTCCCCCTGGCAACCCCACCATTTTCCGAAAAACCATAATCAAACAAGAGAAATATATATTCAAATAAATCTATGTATATATGTTTATATACATACTTAGCAGTTCGCTATACATATATATTCCTTTAAGAATGTTTGTATATTTATTGGAAGAACAAACGGAATTATATATCAGTTATAAAACCTTAGGTGCTGCATTTTTTGGTGTGTCATTTCGAAAGAGGCGTAAGGGGAAGGTAAGGGGTTAGGAAAATTGAACTCCGTTTGGAGGTAGGAGTATGCCTAGCCTCGCTGCATGCCTTAGGCAAAGTTTTAAAAGTAAGGTGCAGGGTAAAAAAAAACATGGTCAGCAAAAGTTTTGTGGAATATTCCTATTGTAAAGAAGTGTGAGTGAGTGTGTATGTTTAAGTATGTGTATATCTTGTTTGTTGTAGCTTAAGTAGTTCAAGTAAGAGAGAGCTGTTATAATTAATTTTGCTTATTGCATGTAAATGAGGATTTTTTTTTTGTTGATAATAATGGGGTTCAGTGTGAGACTGAACAGTCGGTAAGGAAAGACATCGATTAGAGATTTAAAATAAGTAAAACAAGTAAAAATCAACTTAACTTCGACCAGGTCGAACTTTTAATAATTTCCCCCACACCACCATGTGCATTCAAAATTCTGAAAATAGTGGGACCTTTACTCGGAGGTTATGTCATAATCGAAAATTGCGTGCAAAACAGTTTTTCAACCTCAACCTGGGGAAAATCCAACTAAAACCCGGGTCGAACTTGTAATAATATCCACCACAGCACCATGTGCATTCAAAATTCTGAAAATAGAGGGACCGATACTCGGAGGTTATGTCATAATCGAAAATTGCATGCAAACATGTTTTTCAATCTCAACCTGTGGAAAATTCAACTAAAATCCTAAAAATACGGAAAAAGAAGCGGACCTTTTTACAGGCGATATTCCGAAAGATGGACCGATACTGCCAACAGCAAAGTTTACCATCGAATGAGAAAGCAAAATTTCAAATCATAGCCATTTCAGTTTAAACACGTGCCAGAAATTGATCAAAGTATCGATTTGTAGGCTCCTTATTATGAGGATTATCTGAAAAAGTAGACCAATATTGGGAAGATTTTGAGGTGGGTGGAAAAATGTTTATCAACCTCAACCTGGGGATATCTAACTAAAACCCTTAAAATACGGAAAAAGAAGCCGACCTCTATATAGGCGATATTCCGAAAGATGGACCGATACTGACAACAGTAAATTTTACCATCGAATGAGAAAGCAAAATATTAAGTCATAGCCATTCCGGTTTAAACACGTGCCAGAAATTTTCAAAGTATCGATTTGTAGGTTCCCTATTATGAGGATTATCTTAAAAAGTAGACCAATATTGGGAAGATTTTGAGGTGGATGGTTTGCTAAACAATGAGAACCCTCCAAAACATTTTTTAACCTCAACCTGGGAAAAATCCAACTAAAACCCTAAAAATACGGGAAAAGAAGCGGTCCTTTATATAGGCGATATTCCGAAAGATGGAGCGATATTGACAACAGCAAAGTTTACCATCGAATGAGAAAGCAAAATTTCAAATCATAGCCATTTCGGTTTAAACACGTGCCAAAAATCGATGAAACTATCGATTTGTAGGTTCCTTATTATGAGGATTATGTTAAAAAGTAGACCAATATTGGGAAGATTTGGGAAGAGGAGGTGGGTGGTTTGCTAAACAATGAGAACCCTCCAGCTCATTTAGAAATCTGTTATGTCTTCCTTCTTCGTTCTCTTGAAACGCATAGTAATTATGCCCAATAAAAGTTAGTGCCTATTCCTTCCCCCATTACCCCTACTCCTCCTTCTCCTCCCGCAGAATACTTCTTCCCCTGTCATGTATGATTGTCGGCTTGTTGATTATCTCTGGCGATATGTGCCGAGAGTGTCTATTAATGCATTTATGCATTTGTAGAACTTTTTCAGTAAGCAGTAGTGACAGAACAGGAGACGGCAGCAGCGTCATTTACTGCAGCAACAACAACAACAATTCCGAAATGAAGAAAAACAAAACAAAATTATGAACAAAACGTCAACAACAACAGCAGCAGCAGGAGGACATTCTGCAGGACATCATCAACATGCATGCAATGTTGTATGCAGAGAGACAGATATTAACAGGGAACTACAAACAAATACACAAGCACACAAATACATACACGAACACACACACACACACCGACATACCCACATGAAGACGACATAATCAACGACAAGACCACTGGACATTCTACTTAAAATTTTTACGCTGCAATTCTACGCTTATGAGTCTCACCTCATCGCTTCTCTTGTTCCATTTCCCCTCCTTCTTCGATTGTGTTACACACTTTTTCACAGGAAATAAGCTTTACACATTCGTTTTCATACATACATTTGCATATTATTCTCTCACTCTCCCGCCACAAACAAAAAATGCTCTCTCAAGACCTAAGGCATTGAAAGACGTATGAGACTTTTGCATATGTTGGTTGTTCGAAAGCCCTCCACACCCCTTCTTCAACCCAACACTCAGATGACCATTCCTTATTTTGTGTGTGTGTGTGTCCGTATGGTGGCTAAGGACATTCTCCACAATGATAAAAATCTGTAAAAGGAGTGAGGAGTTTGTTTGCCTGCCTGGCTTGCTAAAGGCCTGAAGAACATCATCCGTTCGACGTCGTACGAAAGGACACTCGAACGAACGAAGGGAAGTCGCTTGGCCTGGCCAGAAGACTAGTATGTTTGGTCAAATGCATTTTGGTCAAGACTAGCATACAGCTGACATGCAAAAACAACAACAACAAACAAATTATGATTGCAGACATTTGGTTGTAGGATTTTTGCTAAGTCTGTCTTTTAGTCTGACAAACATGCACACACGCACACACACACATGTGTGTGACTGCCTCGATGTCAGGCCGGCAGTATTGTGTACGAAAATTTAAAGCTGTATTAAGAAGTTTTACTTCTAAGCAAAATTAAAGTAATTAAACTTGGCTAGAAGTTTCGGAAATAAATTAGAGAATTAAAAAAAGAAAATCATAAATTTCAGACAGCTGATAGGTAGCCTAAAAGTAGGCACTGACTTGGGAAAATAAATAAAAAATATATACACATACTTTAAAACAATTATTTTTTTTATAAAAATTTTAAAAAATTCTATTTTTTCCATATTGTTTATTAAAAATATATTTATAAAAAAATATAATTTTTATATAAATAATGTTTTAAAATTTGTTTTTGAATTTTTTATTACATTTGTGAACTTTCATAAAAAAATAATTTTTTGAGTTTTTATAAAAATACAAAATTTTGGAGTTTTGTATACACACATTTTGAATTTTATTTCCTTGTTTTTGCAATTTGATTTTACGGCTTATGCTTTTTTAAACACATTTTGAAAATTATGTCGCCTAAAACTATGCACCACACATTGCAATTTCTTTAACTTTCCTCAAAATTCTCTTTCCTTTCCATTTACAATTTTTTATTAATTATTTCCTCCCCACCTCTCTCCCTCTTTCTCTTTCCAGTTATTGCCCCACAATGTGTAACTGACATGGCGGAAGGTTGTGAAGACACTGATAATAATAGTGGTAATCGTAACGCCGATAACGCTCCTACCATGTTGGGTACTGTTCTACCCTGTGAAGCAGCTATTACCGCCTCCCTCGGTGTATCCGGTGGTGGTGTTATGAAACGTGAATTTGTTGATGCCACAAGCGTACTAGGCGCCCACCTCACAGCCAGTGTTAGTTTGGCCAGTCCCACAGCAGCGCCAATGATGTCACCCAATAATACAATGTCAAATAATAGTAGTAACGGTTTATTGAATACAGCAACGGTAACATCGTCAACGGGAACACCAGTAACATCAGCGTCGACAGAAACAAATCAGCAAGTAACACCCGCAACAGCAAATAAAACAAATGCAGCATCCGCCACAAATAACGGTTTAACGGCACCCTTAGTTTGTAGCACAACATTATCTTCCTCATCATCCTCATCGTCGTCGTCGTCCTCTTCCTCCTCATCGAATTCTTCGCTATCCTCATCATCGTCGTCTTTGAACTCCACCACAACGGCATCCTCCTCAACCACCGCGGCCATAGCTAATACATCAAATACCAACAAATCTCCATCCTCATCGCCATATTCAAGTGCAGCAGTGGCCTCATCACCGGGACGTGCAACACCTGGTCCGAATAGTAATGCCAGTTGTGGTTTTGCAGCACCCATCACCTCAACGACACCGACATCGGCGCCCACGCTGCCAGTCGCAATGGCAACTTCAAGCGGCAGCAGAAGCGAAACACCTCCACCGGCAGCCCTCCACTTGGCATTGAATATTAAAACTGAAGCGGTAAGTGGAAAATTTTTGATTTTTTAACACATTACATAATAAATTACATTGTAAGGGGTTATTGAATTATTTAAAAGGAGTACGAAAACTTTGCGAAAGTTCTTTGGTATCTTAAATGACCAAATATTCATATTGGGTGAATATAAAAAATATGTGCCTAAAAGTATGCACCACACATGAGATATTTATTGAAATTCGAGCTTATTGATCAAAATGCCTTAAAAACAATCGGAAAACATGTCTCATATGATGAAGAGGTAAAAAATTGTTATTACGAAAAAAAAATAAAAAGTATGTGCCTAAAAGTATGCACCACACAAAAACTTTGTTGATATTTAATAAATACAGATAAAGAATATGACATCAAAAAAATACTTTCGATCGTCTAGACTTTTCTCAAATGTCCAAATATATATTTTTTGGCAGAAAATAAAAAAAATTGCCTAAAAGTATGCACCACACATCAGGCCTTTTTTATATTTATTAATTCTATTAACGTTTTTCACCAAAAATATGGCCTATACAATATTTTTCAAGCCGTTTAGTTCCTCAAAAATGCATATCCACAGAAAACAAAGAACTGAGCCTAAAAGTATGCAGCACACAACACCAGGTTATTGAGATTTAATAATTATATCTATGTTCTTTAGATTCTATTAGTATATTTATATTCTTAAAATCATTTAAGGTTGTTCACCTTTTGCCAGCATGACAAAAAAACATATTTCCAGAAAATAAAAAAAATTGCCTAAAATTATGCACCTCACATAAGAAAATTTTTTTAGGATAACTTATTATAATATTCTTCTATAACAAATAAGCCTACCGAAAATTCTTTGAGCCTTCTCTTAATTGCCCATTAATTCCAATTCGCAAAAAATAACGACATGCCTAAATGTATGCACCAAAATATTATTATTGATAATAATTGATCTGATCTATATTTGCCAATTATAAATATGGGTTCCGATATCTCCAGTAGTCATAAAATCTTTTTGGGAAAAAATAAAGACTTCCAAAAGTATGCACCACACAAAGTAGGTTTATTGGAATTTAAGAATTCGATCCACGTTTGACAGTCAAAATTATGGCTTCTACAAATTCCCCAAGGTTTGGTTCGTCCATCAAAATGATCAGAAATTCCTATTGGAAGAAAATAAAAATTATTTAAATTCAAAAATCGGATCTACGTTCATTAATCAAAAATATGGCTTCTAGGAATTCGTTAAGGTTGGTTAGTCCTTCCAAAAAGTCCTATTGTCCTTCCAAAAAGTAGTCATAAAATATTCCAGTAGTCATAAAATATTCTTGGGAAAAAATAAAGACTCCCAAAAGTATGCACCACACAAAGTAGGTTTATTGAAATTTAAGAATCCGATCCACGTTTGACAATCAAAATTATGGCTTCTAAAAATTCCCCAAGGTTTGGTTCGTCCATCAAAATGATCAGAAATTCCTATTGGAAGAAAATATTTTTTTTTTTTTAAATTCAAAAATCCGATCTACGTTCATTAATCAAAAATATGGCTTCTAGGAATTCGTTAAGGTTGGTTAGTCCTTCCAAAAAGTAGTCATAAAATATTCCAGTAGTCATTAAATATTCTTGAGAAAAACTAAAGACTCCCAAAAGTATGCACCACACAAAGTAGGTTTATTGAAATTTAAGAATCCGATCCACGTTTGGCAGTCACAATTATGGGTTCTAAAAATTCCCCATGATCACAAATTTCTATTGGAAGAAAATAAAAATTATTTAAATTCCAAAATCCGATCTACGTTTATTAATCAAAAAATGGCATCTAAAAATTCGTCAACGTTGGTTAGTTCTTCCAAAAAGTCCTATTGGGAGAAAATAACAAATATATATGTCTTAAAGTATGCACCACACCACCAAAATTTATTGACATTTATAAATTATTTCTAATTTGTTTCTAATTTAAAAATACCAATTAAAAATATGGCTTCTTAAAAATTCGTTAAGGTTAGCTAGACCTTCTAATGATTAAAAATTGCTATTAGAAGAAAATAAAAAAATATGTACCTAGAAGTATGCACCACACCACGAATGCTTATTTACTTAAATGAGATAATCGCATCTATGTTTCACGTTAAAAAAAATACTTCTAAAAATTCGTTAAGGCTAGTTAGCCCTTCAAATGACCCAAAAAAATTATATTGGGAGAAAATGAAAATATATATGTGCCTGAAAGTATACACCACACCACGTTTATTAAGATTTTATAATTCCACATATGTTTATCAGTTAAAAATATGGCTTCAAAATTGTATCAAGGTTGGTTAGTCCCTCATATGATCAAAAATTTCTATTAAAAGAAAATAAAAAAATGTATGTGCCTAAAAGTATGCACCACACCATGAATTTTATTGTAATTTAATAATGCGATTAATTTTTACCAATTGAAATATGGCTTAAAAAGATTGACAAGATTGATTAGTCTCTCAAATGGTCGAAAATTCCTATTGGAAGAAAATATAAAAAATAAATACGCCTAAATGTATGCACCACACCGCGAATATTTATTGAGATTTAATAATCCTATGTATGTGTATCAATAAAAAATATGGCTTCTAAAAATTAATCAATGTAGTTTGAGGGTTTACAAAATCAAAATCATTTATTCCCCGAAAATATAAAAATTGAGCCTAGAAGTAGACGTTTCACTGCATTTATGACTTTTTCCGTTCTCAACACTGTCATGTGGAACATTCTAAAAAAAAACTTCAAAAACCTCATTGGTTATTTTGATTATAATTATTATTTGAATACACAAAAATAAAATAAATTAAAATTGCAAATATGAACATTTCCGAATGAGCAAAAGAGATAGCATATCAAAATAGGCGTTGCCCTTTTTTTTCAATATTCGAAATGGGATTTTATTATTATTGAAAACAAAAACTAGGTTAACTATTCTAACCCTGTTGCAAGTAAAGTAAAATCAAATACTTTGACATACAATAACTAAACTTACATGACATCATATGTTCCCCTCTCGCCACTTGCCACCAACTTTTTCGAAAAGTTCTAATTAGATTTACTGCAATTGCTTTCAATACATATCTACATACAAATATATGTACATTAATAATAATTATAACAATACATTATTATAACCTTACGGGGTAATTGTATATATTTATTTGTTATTGTTGTTGTAGTCTATTTTATATTTCTTCAAATCAAATTGCTAACAAACAAATTCTCGAATTGTGGTTTTGCAACATTGTCTTCTGTCGGCGGGACGGTCTGTCCGTCGTTCGATTCGATTTACTGGGCTGTCGATTGAAATTTGTAATGACATGATTTATGGCTCGAGGCAATATCTTTGTAATTTATTAATTTCGAAATTAGATAATGATGTTAATATGCAGAGCGCTCTCTCCCCCCTCTCTTTTCTTCTACTCTGATCAGTTGAAATACTTTGGCATAATGCCATTTGGAGAATATGTGATTTATGATCGGCTTGGAGGGTGTAACAGATATTTTTTTTATTTTTGAATATATAAATAATAATTAAATACAATTTTTATAATTGAAAATTGTCGTAGTTTAAAAATTGGAACAAAACGTAAATGGATTTCCAATGAAAGCGGTGCATAGTTTTAGGCATTTTTTTTAAATTTTCTGTTGTTATATTGTCTGTTTGAGAAAGGGTTAAAGAAACCTTCACTCATATTTTTGGAAAGCATATTTTTGATCGAAAAAATTAATAAACACTCTTATTACATCTCAAGAATCGTAGTGTGTGTGGTGCATACTTTTAGGCAAAATGGTATTTGGGTCTATTTTTTAGATGAGCTTGGGGACATTAACGAATTTTTTGAAAACCATTTTTATAACTGATCAGATATTATAGAAGTATGAAACCTTAAAAAATATTGATGTGGTGGTGCATACTTTTAGGCATTTTTTTTCCAGTAACGTTTGATAAAATATTCATTAACATATTCGGTTGATAAATTATTCATTCCAAAAAAAATTATTAAATATTTTAAATATGTTAAAATAAAACCAGCAAGGAAAGTGGTAAAGTCGGACGGGGCCGACTATATGATACCCTTCACCACTTTGGGTAAATTCAACAGATGAATCTTAACAGACGTCGCATTTTTGATTTTCACGAAACTTAACACACATCATTCTGGACTTTATTCAGTACGCTGTACCAAATTTCGTGGAAATCGAAAGGTATACGAGACTTTGGTACACCATTTTCCTTTAATCGGACGAAAATATATATGGGAGTTATATCTAAATCTGAACCGAATTTCACGAAACTTAGCACACATCATTCTAGGCTTAATTCAGTACGCTGTGCCAAATTTCGTGCAAATCGAAAGATATTTAGGGACATTGGTGCACCATTTACCTTAAATCGGACGAAAATATATATGGGAGCTATATATAAATCTGAACCGATTTTCATGAAATTTAGCTCCATTTACCTTAAATCGGACGAAAATATATATGGGAGCTATATATAAATCTGAACCGATTTTTCCCAATTTCAATAGGGTTCGTCCTTGTGCCAAATAAGTGACGTATGCCAAATTTCATCCAATTCGGATAATAAATGCGACCTGTACTTTGTTTACAATTTAACATGGACAGACAGACGGACGGACGGACGGACGGACATGCATAAATCGACTTAAAAAGTGATTATATGCATATTCTCAGAAGGAACCATGGGTCTATCTTGATTCCTTTTGCCTGTTACAAACACATGCACAAAGACAGAATACCCTGTTCCACAGTGTGGTGAAGGGTATAAAAAACCAAATTACAAAGAATTTGGTTGAAAAACGTGCCCAAGAACCCCAAAATACCAAAAATTGGGGGGTACCCTTATTATTATTCAAGTTATTCGGGGGTTACCCGAATAACTTGACCTATATTTATAATTTATAGTGGAGAGATTTGCTACCTAATAAGAACTCGACGTACTAAATTACAGTCAATTCGGTCGAAAAATGCG